TCCCCTCCACCCCTCACTTCCTTCTCCTCCTGCCTCTGCCTGCTGCTGTTTCCTGCCCACATCCCACGTGCTGTGGCCCCAGGCCACATGTGGGGTCAGGCTGCCCCTGGCCTGCCCCCACGTACCTCGCACGTGCCCTTGCCCTGGAGTGGATTGGGGCCCGCGCCCAGGGGGAAGCCCTGTGTCTGACCCCCTGGCAGCCTTGGGCTTAGAGGCAAGTCCCGGGTGGGGGTGGGGGTGTGAGTACCCCCATCTCTGCCCTCTGTAACCTCCCCAGCACTGGCAGAAGGGGTTCCCAGGCCAGCTGCGGGTCACCCTGGAGCTGGAGGGAGCATGGCTGGAGCTGGAGCTGGAGCAGAACCGGTGAGCTGGGGGCATGGGTGAGGGGAGGGTGTGTGGCCTTACTACCCAGGGTGGATCGGCTGGACCCTGGGGGCGGGGGGCATGCGAGGCCATCAGCTGGGCTCTCACTGTGCCCCAACAGGGAGCTGACTCCAGGCACCCGGGCTCTGCTGTACTACCTGCCCAATGGCATGCGGGCCATGCAGGACGTTGGCACCCAAGTAGGTTTGAGGGTGAGCAGGGCATTGTGGGTTTCCTCAGGGCAGTGCCCTACTTAGGGTCGGGGGCCTAGCCCTGTCTCCCCCGCAAGGCCGCAGCTGAACTCTCCGTCCTTCCCTGCCACAGAACTGCTGCTACCAGGGCCGCGTCTGGGGGCATCCGGGCTCCAGGGCCAGCATCTGTGCCTGCGCCGGGCTCAGGTAGGGGATCCCCTGCCCTACCCACTATCCTGCTTCCCCCCCCCCATGTCTCTCTTGCCCCTGGGACCACACGTGGTCCCTGACACCTGTCACCCTGCTCCACCTCCTAGTGGCTTAATCACGGTGTCCCAGAACATGAGCTATGGCCTGGAGCCCAGCCCTGGGGGCCCCCACGGGACACACCTGGCCTACCGCACCCAGGACATCCGGCTGGTGCCACAGGCCTGCGGGGTGGGCACCCCCAACCCTGAGCAGCCACTGCCAGACACGGAGCAACCTCTGCTTCAAAGGGTACGTAGTAGGGAGGCTCTGCTGCCTCTTCCATAGGGGTGGGCTGCCCCCACACTTGCGTCCCTACGTCACAGGAAGCTGCTCCCCTCACTGGCTCTCACTCCAGGGCAAGCGGGCAGCAGTGCCGGAGCAGCGCTTTGTGGAGCTGGTGATGGTGCTGGACCAGGCAGAGGTGAGTGGTGCTGGCTGGGCCCTGGCCTGCCCAGCTGAACTGTGCCTGCCCCAGGCATCTGGGTGCTGCTGCCCCCACTTGATGCTGTCCTGTGCCTGCAGTTCCGGCTGTACCCCGACCTCAAGCGGATCCAGACACGTGCACTGGAAATCACCAACCAGGTGGATGTGGTGAGTGCCCAGAGCACCCTGCTCACCCCCACTGCCCGGGGCTCCCCCAGCCCTGCCAGTGCCCTAGGTCCTAGCCCTGCTGCCCACAGCAGTGCAGTGTTGAGGCGCAGTGCATCCAGGCAGTGGCTGCCAGGGGCACAGCTCTCCTCCCTGCGTTATCCCCCCCTCTTCACCCTGTGCAGGGTAGCCCCAGTCCATGGGGTCCTGAGCCCGCCATCCCCTCTCCCCAGTTCTTCCAGCCCCTGGGCATCCGTGTGGCACTGCTGGCAGTGGAGGTGTGGAACCAAGGCAACCCCATTGCTATAGGACCCAGTGCCCGGGCCACGCTGGAGCGGTTCCTGCAGTGGCGCCAGACAGACCTGCTGCCCCGGCTGCCCCACGACAATGCGCAGCTGCTGACGTGAGCGGGGGTGCAGGGGTGGGACGTGCCAAGGGGCACGGGGGCTGCATGTCACCCGCAGAAGGGGCTGCATGTCACCCTTATGCCCGCACTATCTTCCAGGGGCACGGCCTTCGCAGGCACGGCCATGGGGATGGCATCCCAGGGCTCCATGTGCTCTGCAGCCCGGTCCGGTGGGGTCAGCGTGGTTAGTACCTCCCCTTCCCCTGCCCCAGCTGGGGCCCCCATGCTCCCCACCCCCATTTTCTTGCAGGACACTGAACCCCCATTTTCTTGCAGGACCACTCCATCAGCGTCCTGGCCGTGGCCTCCACTGTGGCCCACCAACTGGGCCACAGCCTGGGCATGGGGCACGATGGGCCAGCACAGGGCTGTGAGTGCCCCGGCCCCTACCAAGACCGGAGCTGCATCATGGATCTACCCACAGGGTAAGCATGCTGCAGGCGGGGTGCAGCATTTGAGCTCAGGCTGGTGCTGCGTTCGAGTGGGGGGAGGTTGCCCAGTTCCTCCACTCTTGCTTAAAGGCTGCTCCCCCTGCCAGGCTGATGCCCGGGCTGAGCTTCAGCAGCTGCAGCAAGCAGGACCTAGAGCACGGCCTGCGCCAAGGCCGGGGCTGGTGCCTTTTCAATGTGCCAGAGCCCCGGAGCCTGGTTGGGCGCCCGCGCTGTGGCAATCGCTTCGTGGAGGAGGGCGAGGAGTGCGACTGTGGCCTGCAGGAGGTATGTGGGGTGCTCGGGCCCCCGCTTCCCTCCCCACTGTCTCCTTGCTCACGGTGCCCCTCTGCCCACAGGAGTGCACCGACCCCTGCTGCAACGCCAGCACCTGCCAGCTGCTTCCCGGGGCCCAGTGCGCCACTGGTGCTGCCTGCTGCCAGGACTGCCAGGTGAGCAGGGATGGGGCCAAGCCTGTCTTTGGGTGGGGGGGTGTCCTGGGCCCCTCTGTGGGGTGCAGCACCTGAGTATGCTGAGCAGGCCTGTGGAAAGCCCTGGGAGCTGCCTGCTCTGGAAGTGGGGCTGTGCTCTGATTCGCCCCCTCCCTTCTCCCCTCCCACAGCTGCGCCCAGCGGGCACCACATGCCGGGAGCCGCGGGGAGAGTGCGACCTGCCTGAATTCTGTGATGGGCTTTTGGGGCACTGCCCTCCCAATGCCCACATGCAGGACGGGCAGCTCTGTGCGGGTGGCCAGGCCTACTGCTATGGGGGTGTCTGCACCACCTATGCAGGGCAGTGCCAGCAGCTGTGGGGCACAGGTAAGGGCAGGGTGGGATGGTGGGGCAGGAGACTGGCGCAGGATGGGCAGCATGGGCAGTGCGGTTGGCTCCCCTGGCACTCACAGCTCTGCTGTTCCGGTGCAGGTTCTGTCCCGGCCCCAGCTGCCTGCCTGGCCTCCCTCAATGCCCAGGGCAGTGAGCATGGGCACTGCGGACAGCACCCCAATGGCACCTACATCCCTTGTGCCCCACGGTGAGTGCCTCCTCCCTGCTCTGTCCCCATCCATCATCCGTCCATCCATCTGTCCATCCCCTTGATGTCTCTGTCCTGCAGGGATGTGGGCTGCGGGCGGCTGCAGTGCCAGGTGGGTAACGCCGCAGCTGCCCGAGGGAACGGGACCAGACAAGACTGTAGTGCAGCCCCCCTGCCCCCAGGCAGCGACGTGAGTGACCTTGCCATGGTGCTGCCTGGCACAGCCTGTGGCTCTGGGAAGGTGAGTGGGGCAGGGGTGGGGCGGGTACAGCTATGGCACGACACTCTCCTGACGCTCTAATCCCTTCGCAGATATGTCTTGAGAGCCGGTGCCAGGACGTCTCTGTGCTGCGGGTGTCAGCGTGCCAGTGCCACGAGCATGGGGTGAGCCACAGGGCAGGGACCCCAGTGGGGGCAGCTTGGGGGAGCCCCAGTGCCAGGCTTGGGCTCAGGCTCCATGTTGTCCCTCAGGTGTGTAACAACCTTGGGCACTGCCACTGTGAGCGGGGCTGGGCCCCCCCCAGCTGCGAGAGCCCTGGGCCGGGGGGCAGTGTGGACAGTGGCCCCCTGAGCATGGAGGAAGGTATGGCAGGGCAGGAGCTTCATTGTGGCAGGGGAGGTGGAGCCCATGGCATCAGCTTGCAGCCAGCATGCCGGGTCCCTGCCGGGCACAGGGAGGAGAATGGGGCTTTGTGTACGGCCCTGGGCCAGCCCTGCGGGGAGGCTTGCGGCTGGTGCCTGCATGTCCTGATGGGCTGTTCCCTGGCAGGGAGCAGCGCCGTGCCTGCCGCCCTGCTCCTCAGCGCCATCCTGCTCCTGGCACTGGTGCTAGGGCTCTGCTACGCCAAGCGCGCTGGCCTGCACAAGCGCCTCTGCCAGCTCAGCAAGGGCACCAGCTGCCAGTACAGGTAATGCCCTTGCCCCGTGCTCCCCGCAACAGGCCACCCCCTCCATGTCCCTAGTGACCCTCGAGCAGGTCCAGGATCCCCCACGCTCCACCGCCGCCCGCCCCCACCCCCATAGGGTCTGGGCACCAGGATGCAACACTGACTCTCTTCTCCCTGCAGCACCGAGGCCGAGACCCGGGTGCGATTCCTGGGTGCCGGAGTCTCAGCTGATCAGAGCCGGTAACATCCTTGCCTGGGGGGGGGGGGGGTATAGAGTCCCCCCTCACCACT